CCATCCTGGGTGTATTTTGAGGTCTCATTTTGCCCTTTCCTCCAGTCCAGCTCTGTTTTGAGGTCTCTTTTTGCCCTTTCCTCCAGCCCAGCTCTGTTTTGGCCGTGGCCCCACTGAAAAGGAGGGATCTGAGCGATATTTGGGTCTCTTTAGTGCCACATCTCAGCAGGCACCAAGCCCCTYGTTGGAGCAGCGGCCATCCCGCTGTACAAACACACCTTTGGAACCTTTGGGGTCAGGAATGGGGCTCCTCTCCAGCCCTACAAAGCTGGGCTTTGAGCTAAACTGGAGTTCCGTACATTGGGTGCCAATATTGCCCCTCATGTCCCCCTCAGTGTCACCATGAACTCAGATCATGCCAGTTTCTGTTTTTATTATTATTATTATTATTATTATTATTATTAAAATAATCCAGTTTATTACTTTTCATTTCATTATTATTTATTTTATTATTTATTTATTATTAGAATCAATTAGTTGATTATTAAAACTGTGCCAGAGCCAACAGCTCCAGCGACACCCTGAGTGCCGTTTGTGCATCTCTGCCATGCCCTGGTCACTTCTTTGTCACCAAGGGCTCGTCTTTGTCCCCTTTTGGGGTTCTTTGACACTCGGGGCTCTGCTGGAGCTGGCGGGACTTTGGGGGGGATACTTCAGGACCTGCCCAGGGGGAATTTTTTTTTGGTGCCTTTCTGGTGAGTTCCTCACAAAAACGTGAACGGAATCAGGCACAGGGGGCACTGCACAAACACAGCGAGTGAACATCAGATTTAACAACCTGGAAATCTCACCGGGGTAAATTGACAACAAATTATTGGAGTCTCAGATCAGCTCAGATTGGGGTTGTTATCAGATCAGAATGACCCAATGGCTGTAGGTGAGGCCAGTCAATGGCAGGTGAGGTGGTAAAATTTTTTTTAATTTTTTTTTTAAATTTTTTTGTTCTCCTCTGGACTGCCCTTTTAGCGTGTTAAAACAAAGCACGAAGGGGTCATTACTGCACCTATGACAACGGATTTTTTTTCTTTTTTCCCCTCCTCCTTCTCTAATGGGCTGCAGGTGTTTCACAGCCAGCCCAGCCTAATCAGGACAGACTTTTTGGCCACTGGCCAAAATTATAAAACTGTCCAGGGAGAGAAGAAAAGAAAAGAAAAAG